TATAGGGATCGGTTTCGCGGAGCGAAGCCGAAGGCCAGTATTCAGTAACTCCAGTCGAAGGGCCTTCGCTCGAAACGTCGAAATTCTCCTTATATATTTTCAGGTATTTGCATCCCTATACCAACGAAAGCTTGTTCATATATCCATGGCAGACCATGCATATATATACATAGTGTCGCCTATACTGACTTCCTAACGGAGGGAGAAACGTCGAAGTTCACGCGCTTTTCTTAACTCTCGCAACATTCCCGCGCGTTTGGATCAGGCCATCCAAACACGGAAACCATAAAGTAATTGTATAATCCATACATGGCTATATAGTATAGTATAGTATAACGAAATTGATCTATATATCATAACATGCAGCATACATATATTAATAAACTGATATATAAATATATATATATATATATATAGCTATCAAGAATAAGTTTTGTATATACTTTCAGAGCAACTTTAGTTGAGAATCATTAAACATGCAGTGAGAAATTTATTTTACACAATCACCCTTATTAAGACTTATATATAATTAAAATGAAAATATTAGCTAAATGTTATTCTTGTGTATTTTTTAGATAGTAATCAAGTTATTATAAACTATTGATTATTTTACAAGCTACAATATGTATATTGGCTTAATGCTAACCTAAAACAATCAACCTTTGTATTACATGATTATTATAACTCTATAGGAAATATATGAATGTGTGAACCCTAAACTCTATATATAAACCTTAATTCTTAAACTCTAAGCGTGCAAAGCTTAATGGAGCACAAGTTTCATGAATGAATTATTCTTGTTATATGATTTCTAAACTGACTAAATCTGCATGGTCTCATTATGCTTTGCACGCTCAGAGTTTAAGTTTTAAGGTTTAGAGTTTTAGGTTTGCAAAGAACAACCTTTTTTGAATTAGCTGTATACTCAAAAAATGGGAAGTGAAATTAAGATTGACATTACCAAGTCAATAAATATCGCTAAATGCAGAGAAAAGAATTGAGAAAGGAATAACTGGGTACGAAACACAAAAGGCAAAACACTTACGTCACTCTTTCATTATATAAATGATATTTTATTTCTTTATTATATTCAAGAGTCAAGTTTCTCAGTGTGAGTCTTGATTATACACTTGAAAAATATCACTTGTGATGTAATAAAGATACACTCATTTGCACTCATGCATTCAAAATAATTTTAGTACTTTAAAACGGCTTTGTGGTGAGAATTATATACTTTCCTCTATCTGTTGGAATGAATCGGTATGTAAGCACGAAAAACGTTTTGATATACATTTCATATAATGCACAGTTTAATATTTATGATATATACAGTGCGCTAATAATTAATACGGCTCTGTCTCTGGTCACACATCGGTGATAAACATATAAATCATGCAATAACTAAAATGTACAGCCAATCAACGGTATACTCCGTGTTACAAATATATATATATATAAATATATTGGTACGAAGCCATCGAAGTACACAAGCACCCTAGAGTTTCAATAATAAAGCAAATATCTTATCGGCATAATATGAAAGTTGCGAGGAACTCAGCTCTCGAGCTAAAACCTCACACAAATAGACCCTGACACATTATCCCATGGCCACGCATCGAAGCTATTTTTGACAAGTGAGATAAAGTGTACAGGATATTAAAGATATATACTAGTATATTAAAGATATAAAGAAACGTGACAATTTGAGATACATATTCATGATTAGCGAATGCCCCGAAGCAAAATAGAGTCATTATAACACAAGTACAAAGTTATTAGGAATATTATGTTAGAATAATCACCTTCATAATTGTTCAGTGTCTCACGTAAAAAGCCAAGTTTAATAACCACACAGCCCAGGCGAAATTAGACGGTTTCGCAGACGAAGTCGAAAAACGATTCCAGCTCACAGTAACAAGTTGGGATATTTGCCGTAGCAATCATAACCACACTGGGCATGCAAATTACGCTTAAAACACAACAGCGAATGCAGCTGCTTGGCTAAAACTACAACACTGGGGTTCAATCATGCCTTTAAAGACGTACACTCAGGGGGCATTTACTTCCTTTGGCTTTGCACGAAATGCAACTGTTCCAAATTATGATTTTGCTTTCTGACAGCATTTCATCACACAAGTTCGCTGCTTTGTTTTCGGACAATACACGTGCATACACACGAGAATTTGCATAGAAACCGTGGTAACATCATTTTGGCTTCAAATTCGATTAGGATAATTTATATTTCCTGACCATTTACTTGGTCTTGGATTGCTAAAGTACACTATACATAACTATAATCTAAACAGGTTAAAGTATATTTGCATCATTTCAACGAATCCCTGCAGAAAGGACTATGTCTATAGTTTCTTTTAATTTTATTTATACAAACATTGTCACTCGGCCAAAGGCAAAGCTCGGTTTTGTAATGAATGGCTTGCCGAAGTGTCGCCAATTTTCCTTAAGTTCATAGTTATTGACCCTTGACATACGATTTAAAAGAAGTGGGATTTAAACCGAGGTTTTCAACAACAATTTGCCTTGTCTGTTTTTGCCTAAAGCCATCATGATCAGATAATACTTGGGATACCCGCTATGCTTTCAAACAGCCGGATATTATATTTACATTTAAATGCTAGCCCATAACAAAACAATACCTCAGACTCAGTCCTAGCTTCTATAATAACACAAATTCGCTAAACGTGTGAGTTAAATCAAGCTGCGATTTAAGTACGCGTTTGGCAGGTTTTCCTGATCTGAAGACTGAACCTCTGAAATTGAAGAAGCAAAATAGTCGAATCTGTAGACGTAGTCGGACGCTTACCTGAATATATTTCTATTTTTGAGTCTTTTTATGTCAATCGTGGGCAACCCGGCGTCCTTGTGGCAAAATTAGAGTGTTATTCGGTTTCTATAAAGCGAGCTTACTTGAAAGTTTTGTTGCTGTAGTCAGCAGCGTCGCTGTATAAAAATCCTTCCCAAAACTAGAGATCAAAGGCGGAGTGTCAACAAATAAATTGACAGCGGACAAGACCCGTCGCAGCACGCCATAAAACAATTGGCGAAAAATTAACATACATCATTTAAATTTTATATAATCTCACTCGAAAATGTGATTGGCAAACTTGGCTGTTAATCTTGTGTGGAGTATCTCGAGGCACGCATGCTGCACGCCACACACGAGAACACAGTTACGTTTGCCGAATATACATTTGTACAAATAGAGCTAAAATAACAGAGCCTTGTTGAGTGATTGACATTGGGAAATCTGCTATATGGATTTTGAACTGAACACAACGTACAATAAAATATGCAGGGTCGGTGTAAGATTACAAAAACAATCCCAAATATTATGGCTGTAGCATTTCCCTTGCGTTTCACCGTTGAGTCGTATGACAGGGAATGTTAACGGGTCAAAATAACCAAACAGATTTGGTGCGTCCCCCCTGCCAGCTTAAGTAAGGCCGGTGATGATAGGTATCGTTTAAAAACGTTTAGTGATAACTCGATAACACGAATAGGCTCAGGAATAATATCGCTGACCCTTAACCTACTTACTCCGATACTACGCACAGAGCAACACAGCAATGGCTATTGTTTTGGCCCAAAATGCGCTGGCCTCAAACCACAGCTTTTCAAAATAACAATATTTCGAGCTATCTTTGGAAAACGCGTGATTTTATCGAACATTTCCCTAAAATTTACCATAAAACTGTCTTCCTGTATAATAGCATTTAAAGACAAAGTGCTAAACTTTTTTATAGCAAGCCCTCTCAACATTGCATATAATTATATTGAACTCTTTTATACTTTAGCCCAAGGCCAAGGGATAATATAATCCCTCATTTGTCGCCAATTTGACAAATTTGTTATATAGCCAATCTATTCATGGCAATGCAGTGATTTTAATACACCTGATAAAATATTGTTTATATTTAATAATAAAGGCTTAAGTTGTCAACAGAATTAATGTTTTCGAGACAAATCGTTGTGACAGTGTCATATACTTTGTATTTGCAGACAATAGCTATACTCGCCGTATTTAATAGTCTGACAATAACACGAGCTTCCGAAGTATAAAATCACAAATCCTGTAGCAGGAATGCTTTATAGAATGTACGAAATGCTGCTATATAATTAATGTTTTCGAGACAAATCGTTGTGACAGTGTCATATACTTTGTATTTGCAGACAATAGCTATACTCGCCGTATTTAATAGTCTGACAATAACACGAGCTTCCGAAGTATAAAATCACAAATCCTGTAGCAGGAATGCTTTATAGAATGTACGAAATGCTGCTATATAATTAATGTTTTCGAGACAAATCGTTGTGACAGTGTCATATACTTTGTATTTGCAGACAATAGCTATACTCGCCGTATTTAATAGTCTGACAATAACACGAGCTTCCGAAGTATAAAATCACAAATCCTGTAGCAGGAATGCTTTATAGAATGTACGAAATGCTGCTATATAATTAATGTTTTCGAGACAAATCGTTGTGACAGTGTCATATACTTTGTATTTGCAGACAATAGCTATACTCGCCGTATTTAATAGTCTGACAATAACACGAGCTTCCGAAGTATAAAATCACAAATCCTGTAGCAGGAATGCTTTATAGAATGTACGAAATGCTGCTATATAATTAATGTTTTCGAGACAAATCGTTGTGACAGTGTCATATACTTTGTATTTGCAGACAATAGCTATACTCGCCGTAT